ATTGTTTTGTTTGATTTGAACTGGCTATACTTCGGACTTCACCTTCACGCACAATCCGCAGTTCATCGATTCAATCATAGACTGTGAAGCATTAGACTCGAGTTTCCTTATTAGGGGTTGGTTTCCTTTTTTATTACACACATTTTGTGTGGTGAACACCAGACGGGGCGAACCCCAAAGTCACGAAGACCTGCTGTTCTGTCATCGAAACCGGCAACCTAGGCTCCTGGATTTGGAGTGACGAACCACATAGGCCCCCTCCTAGGTTAGGCGTGGTATTGAAACGGACGACAGCAAAGCTGTCTGCCACCAGAGTTAGGTGGCGTGGCTCGAACTTCGAACCATAGGATCCAAACCACGCAAGTGATAGCAATTAGACCACTTCGCATACATACACGTAATTTTTGTTTGAATGACCCGCACTCTTGTGGAATTTACTTTTTTATGCGCAAGGCTATACTTGTCACTATTTTTATTCTTATCCCTTTTTTGAAGCACACCACGAATCTGCAGAGCGCTCAAGAGCCGAGGCCCGAAAGAATTCGACTTGATCCGCGCTGCAATCCACTCGAACCCGCACAAACGACTCGGATCCGCGTGTTCCTGTTCCATTCCGAATAGAATTTGCTCGTTACGTGAACCATGCAGTGGGCTGAGGACATGTTTTGTTGCATCCAAAATAGCTACCTAAATCCACGCTCCTCCAGGTGCACCGACCTCGGGGTTCTTGTCTTTGATAATAGCCCTACCGGATGTGTTTCTCTTCCAATTCTTCTTGTTTTGTTCATACAAGTATGTTGTCGTTTATGCACTCGTTATTTTTTGCTTTCGAGAACGGGTCATAAGTAGCTATCTCTCTCGAGTTCGAACAAAACGGTTTTGTGGTCATGCTACATCTATTGTGAGGTACTGCCCACATTTGTGAGTAGTTTGCAAAATATTTGGTGGTTTACTTCAACGATCAAAAACGAAGAAGGCCACTAAGGGTAAATTGCTGTGCCACAAAGAAAAACTACGAACTGCTCCATTCATTACCCTGTGTACTGTCGGAAACGGCGATGACAAGTTTCATATGAGATTTCTGTTTTGTGTATGGCAAATTAGTGATACCCTAACTGCAATCTGCAATAAAGAACCTCCCTTAACCGAGCACCGTCTTGTTGAATCATAACAACTGATACCGTGACCAGGATCAGGATGAAGATTCCATGGCCTGAAGCCATCG